TTTTCTCGGTGCAATAATGTGAATTGCTGCTTAAATGGGACCAACGGAAAGTAATAAATCAAAATGTAATTGTGTGTGTGTACGTACGTACCTGTTCGTATCGACTCGTAAAGAATTCGTTTAAAATATTTATTTTCCTTTCTGAAACGAACAACTAAATATTTGTTATACGTTTGTTGTACGTGAGTGTAGAAACATTATCTCTATTACATTGTTGTACACGTAATAAAACATATATTGAATGTAATTAAACATCGTTTAATGTTTGATGTGTTTAAAATTTTTCATCATTCACTTATCGTTCTTACCGATTAAATAATCTTTATTTTTATCAATACATTTAGCTTTTATTCCATAAAAATTGCAATACCTACAAAATCAATCAGACATTTCTTTACTTAAAATGAACTTAAAGTTTGCGGTATATAAGTGTATATATAATAAAGTTACAGCTGCCAATAATATAATTATCAAGTAGAAAAGGAGTAAAAAGAGATATATATATATATATATATCTTCTATAAGATTTCAAAAAACTTATCACTTCGTATTTTACACAATAGTAATATAGTAATCGATGTTTCTTTAAATTTTTAAGTTAAATATGTTTGTTCGAATCAGACACGAGTATTCTGTTTTTTAGACAAAAAAAAGAAGAAACAGACACATGACGCATACCAATTTCTCATATTTGGACGAATTTAGCTTTTGACAGGTGTATTCTTTGGCGGGCCACCGAATCGTTTCGTTAATTGTATTATCCTCTCAGCTTCGCGAATACCACTCAATCTAGCCCCATGTACTGTGCTGTAATGTCCTGGAATTGTGGCTTCTCCAGCGAATAAAAGAATCGGAGGTATAGGTTCGCACGTACCTACGTGCAAGAAATCGTATATAATCGTAAACGAAGGACAGATATTATTATTATTATTTGTAAGAGAGAGAAATATACCTGGCAACGGACTAGCTAAATCACATTGGTGACCAACGGTACTCTCCAATCCCATGTAACTGTACGAGCCGGCAAAATATTGATCCATACACCATTTGCTTCTCAAAAGATTTGCCGGATAGGGGAGTGTAGGATCACCGGTGAATTGTCGAAGAACTCTCGTTATTGACTCGACCACCTCCTCGTCCGAGCACAATTCCATATCCGCCGCCTCTCGGCCGCAAATCCATGCGCATAAAACGTGCTGGGAAGTCGATAATTCTTCCACGTTTGAAATTCCTACGAAAATATCGATCACGTTGATATTTTGAAACTTTTTTTTTTTTTTCTTTTTGCTTAAAACACAATATGGTTAACACTAAACCTACCACGGCGCGGTCAAATGACCGTTTTTGAAATTTCGTTTAGAATTTCTTGTATATACAAAGTTACTGTATCGATTTATCGACTTTTTCTATAATGTAAAGATACAACCCATTTTTCAATATTCACAACTCTCTCTATTGTTTACTTTACAGAATCCAATTAGCTAAAATCTTTTTCTATATTAAGATACAAATGTTTTTTTTTGCTCATGGTAGGAATGAATAGGTATACACGAAATGTCACGGTAGGTTTAGCGTTAATCGAGGAGAGAAGAAGATTTCTCTCTCGTGCAACGACGAGAATTCTCGCCGAGTTGGAAATCGGATTATTCGCGTGGTGGACTTTGAAATACGAATACCTTTCACCCAATCGCATCTGTCGGCAAGCTCGTCGGCTGACCAAGCCAGTTTAAGACCTCCCTCCTTCCAAACCCAGAACGGCCTCGCGTATTCCAAGAATATTTTGTTAACGTATCCGTATCCCAATTTGCAAATCGCTTCCACTTTCTCCGCAGGCAGTGCGGGGCAGAATAGTTTGTCGTGTTGGTGCTTCAAAACGCCGAGGGACACGGTGATTATCACGTAATCGGCCGGAAATTCTTCCCCGTCGCAACACTTCACCACTGCTCGGGGACAAGAATCGCTTATGGCGCCCCATCTAATGCAACTTACTGGTTTACAATATCTGACACAGAAAATATACACGATTATATATGTAGCGATTTTTCACGTATTCAAAGTATTTTAAGTAAAGAATTGCGAGAAGAGGATGAAGAATCCGTGGTAATTTAATCGATGACAACCAATAATAGTAGTAATAAACCCGTTGATAAATCGAATTTCCAAGTGATTTTTCATCGCGAATAGATATGTTTTAAATGTATAGGATAATTTCTATTTTCGATCAGGTATTCGTAACGTAAGATTAAGCTATTGGATCAACTCGACAACAATTTTTTTAAACGTAAATATATATTTACAGGGAAATAGCGGGTAATAATTATATGTCACGAGGAAATTCTTTCCAAGTGGATTCATTCGAATTTCAGAAGGGGATAAAATAAATTTTGACACCAACATTTTGACTGCTAATAATAAGCAAATCTAATATGCGATCGCGTATCGTCGAATGGCGTATCTATCTAATTCAATTTTGAAAATCCGTTTTAACTTTGACATTTTGGGAACAAGATTGCTGGAAGGAAGGATCGATCGAATGGATACTTGTTTAAAAACGGAACGATAGGAACGATTTAAAAAAAAAAGGGGGATGGGAAAAATGACGTTTCAATAATAATTGTAAACAACTAACTTGAGAGCACAGCTCGGCAAATCTCGTAACAACGGTGCGAGTACTCCAACGTATCCAAGCGGCACTCTCACGTTTCCTCCTGGTATCTCGATGTAACTTCCAAACTGATCGGCGGAAACAAGGGACAGATCGTCCCCGCAACGGCATCTCACACAGTTCGTCATTCCGTACATCACCCTGGCCGCGTCATATCTGAAAAAGGCAAGATCGATCACGGTATAGAAGGCGAACGGTTTTCGGATATCGTGTTTTTAAAAACGCAGTGATGTAAAGTAACGTTATGACCGATTAAAAAAACCTTGTCCGATCCTGTAGTAAGATAAAAAGGGTAAAAGAGGTTGAGATGGCAAGAAGTGACAATTGAACGATCGTTTGTTAGGAAAAAGAAAAGGAAAAAAAAAAAAAAAAAAAAAAGGAAGAAAAAGCCGTAAAATCATCCGAAACGAGTAATTTAATAATATGAAAATCAGGTGGTTGGCATTATAAAATGGTCGGTTAATACTTGTTAATACAAAAATATTATTTACAACTACTTTTACATCACTGGTGATACAGTTTGCAGTTGACCTGGGCAACTGTACCGTTGCTCCTCCGGGAAATTGTGGAGCTCCTGCTGAATTCGGACGCCCATGAAATTCAGCAACGTACCGTGGGTCCGGCCACAACCTAGGGAGAAAAGAGTTGCCGCCTGCTGCTCGATCTGACGAAATGTATGATAAGCCGTAATGCTGACGGGGAGATCGATAGCACGGCCGTCGCTCGTGCAAAAGAGTCCACGACTCGGATCAGGCCTGAACAGGGGCGGTTTCAGAAGACCCTCTTGGGCGGCCAAAGTGAATACAGGATTCGCCACGCATCCTCCTTCGATCCAGGTGGCACCCATCTCGGCCACCACGTCGCCCAACCAACACGAATGGATTCGACCTCCTGGTCTGCGAACAAACGTTATCCAAACGTTTACTTTGACACTTGCTTTCCCTCCAAATTTCCTCCAAATTTCGTTCGTAATCATTTATCATTATGTAACACGCGCTGTCGTCGCGGAATGATAATATACCTATCCGTTGCCTCTAATATCGTAAAATTTTGAAGACCGCATTGAGCCAATCGATGCGCCGCTGAAAGTCCGGCCATCCCAGCGCCGATGATTACGACCGTTGGTTCCGGTTTGCATGGATCCAGCATACAAGGATCCAATTGACACGATTCGAATTTGGCCAGCTTCGTACATGGTGGTATGCTCTTTTCTCCTCCTTCTCCTCCTTTACTCGATGTAAAATTTCTATCCAATGAAAATTTGAACGAATCGAATCTTATTGATCTGTTTAAAATTTCTCGTGGATAATTTAAATTAATTAAATTATCGAAAACGAATAAGAATAAAAATGTCATTGGACTTGTTAGAAGATACCGTGCAATTTGGCCGTGTTGAAAATTGTCGTCCGTGATGTAAAATTAAAAATTGAAAAAGAAAATAATCGATCGTGTCGTCGTAGAAAAATAGAAAATTGTTAAAACAATTACAGAAAAGATTGAAATTTGATGTCAATTTAAAATTCCCGTGTCTAAATCTGACATAGACAGTAGATGAAGTTATTTAAACACAAATTCTCAACACATAACCTCGCATAAGATCTTTTGTAAAATCAAATGTCTTGTTATAATGTTGCGTAGATATAACGAGAAAACTTGATATTAGATTATTTATTGCTTCTGTTGAAAAATACGGGTAGAACGTGTAATTAAAAATTCATAACGTGAAATTTGTATCATTGACATTAAATGTCAGTGACTTTTATTAAATGTATGACTGTCTGGATCTACCTTATTAGAACTGTTCGAAATGTTCGAAAGGATAATTTGGTCCTCGCACGTAGCATTTCATTGGACATGAATGATCGGAACTAGTGAATTTGTTCATGAAGACGATGGAGCTTTATCTTGATAAGAATTTAGATGTAATTAAGGTGAGTTCCTTATTGGCGAACGTTGCTATGAAGAGAGCATATCACACGCGCAAACAAACGACCATTACCGTTATGATGTTTTGTTGTCGAGAATATTAGTCATAGCCAACTACGGTGAAGATTTTATTTAATCCTTGGATCGTGATCAAAATAAATGATTAAAATTATTACTCCTGTTCGAATCATAAATTATATATATTAGAACTATAAAGGATAGACAAAGGATCATAGGACAATATTGTATAATTATATTCTGTATGTATTATAATATTGTATAATATCGTATAATATAAAATAAGTAGTTTGCGTATAATTAATATTAATTTCAAAATGATTGTTATCAATATGTTTATAATGTAATTATAAATATTATAATTAAATTACAAGTTATGTTTCTTATACAAATATATTACAATTTAAACAACGTTTATTTACGATGTGATATCTAATCAAGAAGAAGCCTCTATGATTTTTCATTTTACGAATTATCAAATAAATAAAATGCAATATGTTTTACGTTATCTTTTGCGTTTTCGATTCAAGGTTTAAGCATTCGATCCTCGCCACTATATCATTTGTGGATTTGAAAGATTCTTCCTTCGCGGAAGAGTGTTTCAAAGATTTGAGAATTTCTGTTGTATGATTTGTGATTTCGCGCCACGCAAAGGTGATATCCTCTTCGCGAGACAAACGACAACCTACCACAAATCGGACGATTATTTTATCGCGACACATTCCAGCTGTTACATAAATCTTTCTTTCGGCTGTTAATCGATCGATAAGCTCCTTGGTTAAACAATCGTCACCCTAAAATTAACCATGCTTTTCATTTTTCGATATCAAAATTATCGAATCAAATATTATTTCTCTTATTATTTATACAGATACCTTTATTTTGAAACAACATAAAGCCATAGATCTTTCGGTCATCATTTCAAATCTACAGTCATTTTTAACGTAATTTTCAAACATTTTAGCCAACTCAATTGTGTGTCGTATGTAATGTTGGATACCTTCGATCCCATAAATACGTAATACGAACCAAATTTTCAACGAACGAAATCGACGACCTAAAGATATCTGCCAATTCTAAAAAATAAAAATTAAAAAATTAAAACTCTTATTTAATCAGATATATGATAATGTTATAAGATATTTTTAAAATACGATAAGATATAGTATTCATATATTTTTTAATTAAACGTTTATTTAAAAAATAAATATATATATATATATATATACTCTGAAATCAGGTAATCCTGGTTTATTATGATTTAAATAAATCCTATCTACATTGAAAGCTTCGGTAAATTTTTTAGAATCCTTTACCCTAAAAAGATATAATATAAATTTTTAATAAATTTTTATTCGATTTTAATATTATTACATTCAATTGTATTATCATAAAACGAAAAAATATATGCACCATAACAATGAACAATCAAAGTTTATTAGCATCCATTTATGTGCATTAACATTAAAGGAATTGGCATATTCAATACCGGACATCAAGTATCGATACTCAGGGCAAATGAATGCAGAACCTATGAAAACAATAAAATTTACAATTTACAATCACTATTTTCATCAAAATAATATCAAAAAAAGAATCAAAATGGAATTATTATTACTATTATTAATAAAAAAATATAATTATATTTTATTATTAGTTATAAATATTTAATATAAATATAAATGTATGCATAGTTTAAATTTATGATATTGAAGGAAAAAATTTTTTAAAAGAAATTCTGATATACAAAATTAATTAAAAAAATGATCGATGAAAATTGAAATTAAAATTACTGACCTGCATATGCAGCATCGATATGCAACCATATATTGTATTCTTCACAAATTGGTCCCAATTCTTCAAGATTATCAAAAGCACATGTACCAGTGGTACCCAATGTAGCTATTACGCAAAAAGGTATTAAACCTTTTTTCAAATCCTCTTTGATCGCTTTGAGTAATGTTTCACCTCGAAGAGCGTATTTCTCATCAGTAGCTAAAAATTTCATGATAACTGACGCGAGTTTACCACCTTTCTCTACCGAGGAATTCGATTGATCTGTAAGATAAAATTGAAAAAACAATTTAAAAACAAATAATTTATAATTCTTCGTTTACGTGCTCTTTATTTACGTAAGAAGACTAAGGAAATTACTATCAAGATTAAAATAGGGAATAATGATAGGATAAATACCAGAAGTATATGCAACCAATTTGGCTTTGATAAAACCTTCTTCCCATTCTGGATGCAGACTTTTTATATAGCGCACAGTTTGCTCTTTTGCTGCTATTAAACATAATAATGTGGTTTCACTTGCTGATCCCTAATTAAACAAAAATAAATAATTTTTAAAATTTATTTTCTTTTGTTATTACAATTATTTGATTTCCTTAATAATTAAAAAACAATTGAATATAGTGGCTCGTTGGTCTAGGGGTATGATTCTCGCTTAGGGTGCGAGAGGTCCCGGGTTCAAATCCCGGACGAGCCCAAATTTTTTTCATATATTAATTTTATTATAATATTATATCGTAAAATAATTGTATAATTAATTATCACACTTCCTCAAAAATAAATAAATATTTGTTTAGTATAATATTACTATTATTGTGGTATGAGAGATATTAAAAGATTTCAAAGATTTCTATAATTAAATATTCACAACTAATAATAAAATATAATTAAATATTAACATGGAAGAAAATAAAAGAATGTTTTTTTCTTTTCTACTAATTCTTCCTCAAATAAATTTGTAAAAAAAGCCAAAGAATTTTAAGGTTAAATACCTACAAATAAAATTTATACTTGAAATAATCAACGAACCTCGACGAAAGTCGAGGTAATATAAAAAATTTATATATCGACTGATCCAATTTGTTCCCCTCCACGGAAATCTTTAGTAAAAGGCGAAAGATTTATCCGAATTTTGAAGGGAAACCACAGTTGGAAATAGCTTACATAATGCTAAAATTTAAATCATACTAGTATCTTTTTCAAAAGCGAGAAAGTTGTCCCTCTAGTGGATACTTAAGGTATTAACTATAAGTAAAATATAGGTATAGGTATATATATGTAGGTATTAATTACAGAATCATCAAAATATAAACTTTGTTAAGTAATAATTTTTTATGCAATTCATGCAAAAATTTTTGCAATTCATATAAATTTTTTAAAATGTTTTAATATTTTAAAAAATGTTAAATTCTTTGTAATATTAGTAATAATATTATTTACCTCTATAACACCTCCTCCAAGACCTCCACTGCAATTTAAAAATTCATCTGGCAATCCTAATGATTTTCCAAGCCAATTCATTACAATTATTTCGAGTTCGGTAGACACTGGAGAAGATATCCATGATAATCCTATGCTACCAATGCTATTGCATAAAAGATCTCCTATAATGGCGGGATAAGAGTTTGCTGTTGGATAAAAAGCATAAAAATTGGGGGAATTCCAATGGGTTATCTGAAAATAGAAAAATTGAATTAGTAGAATAAAATTAGAATATTTAACTCTTTAATGCTACAAAAAAAAATTTATATATAATGAAATTATTTACTCCTGGTAAAATATATCGTTCCACATCTTTGAACACTTCTTGCCAACTTTCTGGCTTCTGCGGTGCTTCTTCCGGCAACAGTTTACTAAGATATCCTGGTTCGACATTCGGTAGAACATTAATCTTTCTCAAATTCTCCGTATAATTAGCGATAAAATCTATCATTGCTTTGCCAAAATCAATGAAATCTTTCGTTTCCATTATTGAAAATTACAATTTTTGGTTGTATTAATTATAATTATTTCTGTTAAATTAAAATGTTAAATCAATTAGAATAATGAAAGAAAAAATATTGAATCTATTTCATGCACAATAATTATATTTTAAGTAGATTTTAATTACTACCTATTATAATTTACCACTTTCTTTAAAAACTTAAAAACTCTTTAAAAATTAAAAGCATGATATATTTTTTATAATTAATATATTTTTATTTATATTTTTATTTAAACAAATATTATTTTTAATCCAAATATTTTCATTGATAAATCTGACAGTTTTTAATATTTAATATTCATTCATCAGCATATTGAACATTACTCCAGCAAATTGGGAAAAGAAGAATTAATTTATATGCGACATATTAATGTTATATATTTTTCTATTTCAATTTGATATACTTTTTGCACGAATTGAAATTCAATTTCAATCGAAATATAACACGTTATTATTTACAATAAAACCAAATATAGAAATAATTAAAAATACTATTTGTCTATAATTTTAATTTTTAACAAAATAATTGATCAAAAAAAATAAATTAAAATTCACAAATTGAATTAATGAAACTGTAAAAAGTCACGAATAGCAAAAACATACCTTTTATTTTTGATATTATAACACAAATTAATGACACATTTTAAAGAAAATTCTTTCAATAAAATTTATTAATAAATCAATATTTCGCGAATCGTCGAATATTAATTGATAAATGGTCATATATTATTAACACGAAATTTTAGATTAAAATTGATTCCACTATGCACAGATATCGAGCCGAGAACGGTTCACGAAGAAATGAATTCGCTTGAATCGCGCTAAATAAAGTTAAGTGCCGACACATAGAAAACTTTCTCTTCTCTGCTTTCACCATAATTATACAAAAAATTAATCCACGTGACGTGGAAGAAACGGAAAAAATTCTATATCTCAAAAAGAATTTCGCAATCGAATCGAACATGCTTTGATCAAATTTTTTAATAATTCATAATTTAAAAAATTTTACTATTAAATGTTATGATAAGAGTTGAAATGATTATGAGTGATAATGAACAAATAATAATGTAATAATAATATAAAAAATTACATAATTGAAGTATAATTATATTAGATAATATAATTTATTGGAATTTCGAGTATTTGAGGAATAGATTGAATAATTGAAAATGATTATACATTGCGCAAACAAATTATTGTGATATATATGGATTTTTTAACTTTCACTATGAATTGTTAATATATGGATATATATATATTTATTGAATAATTTTAATCTCAATTTCTAAAATATTGTTTTTTATTAAATTCTCTTTTTTCGAGATTATATAAGAGATAAAAATGTTTACATACCTTTCTTTCTTTGAATAAATAAAAATGGTTTAAAGAAATGTGAAGTACAAAAAAAATGTCCTTCAATTAATCCTGATATCCGGAAAACAATATATTCGAGGCGTTCATGCATAACGGCCTTCATTTATTTCAAAGAAGTATTACTTCTGATAATATTATTTATATTTATTATTTTTTATAATTTTTTATAATAATATGTTTGACAAATAGTATTTTATCTAGTTTTTCATTTTAACAAGTATTTAACTAATAATTTATGATATAATATAATATATTACAAATATATAAATTAAAACGAAAAGAAATTTGGAAAACAAACAATTAATAATGTTATAAATTTTCTATCTCGTATTTTTGATTAAATCACAAGATTTGTAATATTTTTGAATTGTAATATTTTTTTAATTTTATAAAACGAAAATACTGTTCAAAAATATCCTTATTTTGTATTATTTTTTTAATTAAATCAAAATTTCAGATATTTTATTCAGATTTTTTTAATGTTCAGAGTTTAAAATTATTAATAATTTATTAGTTATATATTATAATTTTTTTTAATATAGTTATATTAAAATATTACTAAATTATTTATAAAATTGTGATATTTATTACACACACACACATACACGCGCGCGCGCATATATACATATATTAATATCAATGAATAAATTCATAAACAAATAAATAAGTTAACAGAACTCATTTGAGTTCTATTAAATAAGTTAAATCGACTAATTAAGTAAAAACGAATATACTTACATGAAAATAAAGTATAACGAAATACACTCGGAATAATTTTTAGGAAAGTCAACTGTCATCTACGAGGGAATGAATTTTACTGTAATAATTGCGAAACTATTTCCTTTATATAGCTTTTCTAAACACCGTTACTCATTTACGGAATATAAAATAACTGCATATCTGTGTTTGTGACTTTGGTCACTTTAATGGCACGATTAGATAAGATTATTACTCGTTTATTTTATTTTTATTTATATTTTATTTATATTATATTGACTTATTGAAAATATATAAAGTGTTATAAATAAGTGTGTGAAATATCGAGTCTAGAAATTAAAATAAGCAAAAAAATTGGTATAAAAAGTATCACCATGGTTTATTTATTGAATTGAAGTTTTTGTTAAACAAAGAAAAATAGAAATAAAATAATCATTCTCTGTTATATCGTTATCGCATTTTGTTATTGTTGCATCTAACGTAAAATTAAATTGTTTTTTGATTTAAATAAGCCTCAATCAATTTTGTATACTAATTTTTATGTTTGTTTTGGTTTTTAGAATTTACAATTCCTCAATGTTTTATAAATATATTAAGATCTTGTAAAAATTTGTAGATAAAATATTCAACTGATATATTTGAAATTATAATCTAAAACTTTTCCGTATATTTTAATATACTTCGATAATCAATAATATATCGTTATAAAGATATTATTTAACTCAAGTGACAAAGTCAAATAATAACTTATTGAAAAATAATAATATTTTTCTATAAGTTATTCATTCATCATTTAAAGAGAAATAACATATTACTAATTATATAATTGATAAAATTTAAGATAAAAAATAACCAAGAAATTTATAAAAAGAAAAAAATAAATTCCATTGGGCTCGTCCGGGATTTGAACCCGGGACCTCTCGCACCCGAAGCGAGAATCATACCCCTAGACCAACGAGCCATCTTGAAAACTTTTTTTATGTTAACCATCACCAAGCTCATGATTAAATAAATAAAATCAAATTATTAACATGTTAAAATTAACATTCATAAATAATACTAATTCAAATTTCTATATAATTATTATGAACGTTATCATCTTAAATAATTTATATTATTTTAAATAGCTTCAAATTAAGTAGTTCTTAAAGTAGAGATAATACAAATTTGCAATATAATCAAATATAATATATGTTAAATATATATTTATTTTTGTACTTATACTATGGAAATAAGATGAAATAATCGACTAAAATACATATTTCGCTTGGTATATAAAATATATTATTAGTACCGATTGGAGAATTTTATTCCTACTAATATATTACTTATTTTTCATGATTTTTCACGATATTTGCGGTGAAAGGACTGTTTTTCAATCTGGCTCGTTGGTCTAGGGGTATGATTCTCGCTTAGGGTGCGAGAGGTCCCGGGTTCAAATCCCGGACGAGCCCAATTTTTTTTCATTTTAAAATCGATTTTTAAATCATCTGTATCGCTATTAATGTTCTCCAATTGAGCTTCGAAGAAACAAAGTCCATAATAGATGATGAACCTCTGAAAATTATAATATGAATATTAAAATGCCTAATGTAAATATAGAATACATATAAAAAAATATTAAAATATTGATGGAATATGTAGTAATTTTATTTAGTAATTTTAAAATGTAGAAATAAAATTTTTTAATGATATTTTTGTGAAAATAGATAGAATAAGTAAAAAGAATTTTTATTAATTTCTAAGAAAATTCATTAATTTTTATTCAGAAATATTAGTTTTGACAAGTAAATTAAGGATTTAAAAAAAAATTATTTAAGTAATATGCCATTCCATCTTCTATTGGATAATTTCTTCTTACAGATTTTAAGATAAACGATTAATTCAAGATATTATAAAGAAATTGGAAAATTTGTTAACATAATTATATTTTTTATAAATTATTAATTTTAAAAATATATTTCATTTATATATTTCTTTCTTTAATGCATGTGTAATTCAATATTTCCTATTTTTAAATATTTTTTTTAAATATAATTCAAATGAAACAATAATAAATAAACAATTATTATTAATTATTAAAGAATTTGTAAAAGAGTATAGGCATTTTTTAATATAATTTTTCTCTTACTAAATAATTCATTTAATATTTCTATTAAAAGAAATGTCATACACAGTTATTAATCATTAACAAAATTTATGAGCGATTTATTAATAGATCATAATTACATGTGTCAATATATTTTTTTGAATGAGAGATCTTTAACCTTAAAAGGATCGAAGTTCAAATAAAAGTTGCAATAAAATTAATATGCAATAAATAGAAAAAAGAAGAAAAAAAAAATTATATCCAATTATCAATTTTTCCACGCGAAACTAAAAATCTCAATGAATAATTTTTTTGAAATTTTTGAAATTAGAAAAATTTTTAAGTACTGAAAGCGCTTTCCCTGCCTTTGACCTTTCTAATTTTTCTAAAATAAGAAATATATTATACTAATTCTTTTGTAAATTTACAATACTCGATAGAATCTAATCTTAGATCTTAAATAAATGTTTTCACTTAAAAACATGATTTACAATCATATTTAGATTTGTATGACATATATTAAATAGAAAATCATAAAATAAGAACACACTTCACACAGGGGGCGTAGCTCAGATGGTAGAGCGCTCGCTTAGCATGCGAGAGGTACCGGGATCGATACCCGGCGCCTCCAAAATTTGTGACAAAATATTTTTTGATATATACAATTATTAAATTAAATTTTTTATTTTGTTTTATTCATTAAAAATATTATATATTTTATTTTCCAAAATTTATAATTTAAGGATTAAATTTCATCTATAATTCTAAATTAAAATTATTGGTTTATGATTGAATCTCTTTCTTATATATTTTTGAATCGTAGAATCTACATTTTTTAAACATCTAAGAAATATTTAACATTTTCTACGTAAATTCATTAATAGTTTAAATATATTTAAATTGTTAAATTTAATATGTATTGAAAAAATAAAAAATTATTTTCATACAAAAAACATTTGATAATTTTTAAGAAAATATTCTATAATTTCTTGGCCAAAATAACTTTTGTATTGAAAATATTTTTTAGAAAAGTCTATAATATTAAAGAAACTTCCCGCACAAAGGCGCCGTGGCTTAGTTGGTTAAAGCGCCTGTCTAGTAAACAGGAGATCGAGGGTTCGAATCCCTCCGGAGCCTTAATAATTTGATCCTTAAAACCAAATTTAAGGATCAATATAATTTTTTTTCTACAAAAAAATTTACTACTAATAGTAAATATAATAATTATTAAATACTTGATATTCGTTTCTACTTAAATGCGTATATTAAATGAAATTTTAAGACTTATAAAAATTACTTCAAATATATTTTATATAACAAAGAAGTACAAAGAATAATAATTTTATTTCGAATAATTAGTACACTTTACTTACTATATTGATTTTTATAAGTAGAATTATTAAAAAATCCTCTAAAATATATATAAAAACAGGTGATAAACGTAGAAAAACCTATGTTCAGAATATCGAAAGTACAGAAAGTACAAAATATTTATGCAAATTTTGTTTTCTTATTTCTTACGGCCCAACTTATGTCGGGCACACAAAAAATTAATTCAGACTCATCAATTGTTCCCCTCCACGGAAATCTTTAGTAAAAGGCGAAAGATTTATACGTGGTCTGAAGGGAAACCAGAGTACCGATCTAACTTCTTTACATCCTTATGTACATCTATATATAGCTCTCTACTAGTGAGAATATGAGCCATCTAGTGGCCATTTTATACATCAACTGAATTTATAAAAGCATTTATATTAGAAAAAAATAAACAAGAATACAAAATATATATTATAAAATATATTAAATATATATTTTTAAAATGTATTATATAATTATAATATTATTTATATTTTAAAAATAAATTACTTGTGTCAAATGTATATGTCAATTTATTGTTTGTAGGTAATATCAGGTAATTCTTTACATTCATCCATTGTAATAATGAACATTTACCAACAAATAATAGTGCCGAAAAACGAAATAGATATATCTTGTGAAATTTTATGTCATATGTTCTGAAATATCGACTTCGAAAATCAATGCTTCTAATATCTTCTGATTCACTATGTTGTAGTATTCTTAAGATATCGATTCTAATATTCTATAAAATGAATATTTTCGATATATAAAAAGAAGGAAAAATAAAAAATTTGACACGCCTGTTTAAATTATAATTGGCGAATAAACACCGATTTTATTTTTATTTTAATTAATTTAATTACAGCTATTATATTCTAAAATTATAAAGAGTTAAATAAGTAAAAAAAGAATAAATTTAATTTTTTTCGAATAAATGAAATATCCGAAATAAAAATTTGTTCAATTATTTTTATTTTCATCTTAAAATTCACAATTATTAATTTATATATTATATATTACTTAATAAATCAATGATGATATAATAATATAAAAATATAATAATAAATATTATTATAAATAATAGTATATAATAATAAAAAGAAAAAAAAATATATATATATATCTATTTTCGATACAAAAGCGAATATTATCATTTTTCCATAAAGAATCATCATTTGATTGGTCATTGTGTCAAATGGTGCCCATATTGAAATCTTTTTAGTTATGCACAAAAGAAAATTAAATCTTTATAATAAGTATATAAAATATATAAAATAAAAATTATTATATTAAAAGAATCCTATTCTAATAAAAATAATCCTATTCTAAACTTATGACATGATTTAACAATAACGATCAAATAGATTTTAAAAGAAAAGAAATAATTTAGTTATCAAAGAATAATAAATTATAATAATATATATAATATAATAGATTATTTAATATGTATATATTAGTAAAATAGTAATAGAAAAAAAAAAATAAAAGAATAATTATTTAAATATTAATCTTATGTGATAAATAGGTTATGATATATATACCTGATATGAATTGTTCCATATAATCATCACTCTTTCTACGATACAATGATGTTTCGTGGTCCGTGGCACGATTTCAACTGAATTATATTATATGGAAACGAAATATACGCGACAGAATAACAAATCATAATAAATCGAGCGAACGTCTTCATAAGAATTATTCTAAGAAATATTAGCAGCAATGAACATAACATAAATATAACGTAGAATATAATACGTAATAACGTAATACAGAATATATGTCGAAAGTATTTTTATATTTTCAAAGAGAAATATATAACAATATTCTATGTACATTTTTCATTAAAACGAATAAAGTATTATTAAGTTTTCATTAGATCAAAGTCGGCTAATATTTCCTAAAAATTATATTAAACAGCAAACGACAAATAACAGTACTATTGTATAATAAAAATCATAATCATAAAACAAATATATAAGAATCAAATTTATAATACAAACTGCCAGTCAAACAAACGATCGATGTAAAACGATAAAAAACTGTAAAAAAACTATTTGATTTTGATATAACAATATTTGATAAATAATTAAACAAACACATACAGATTATTTAAGACTAATTGTTTACTAATTTAATAAATATAACAATATTAATAAAAATTCCATGCATTTACGCGATCCGTATCTGCGCAATACATATTACTACCATAATTTTTGCGAGCAAACTGACAACACACAGTGATTCGTCTAACTGTTGAGCTCTAACGGCTTTCTAATTGGCTGAAGCAACGAGTTAGTGAAATATTTTTTTACTAAATCACGGGAAAATTGAAATATTATTATTAAAATTCAAATAAAATAATGTAATAATTTTTATCAATATTTCATGAAAATTTGACGTATATAATTTTCTTTCAACAACATTTTATATTTATAAAAATTTAATGAAAATATAAAATTTTGGCAAATGATTTTGTAGAATATAATAATCAATATGTTTGCAATTTTTTATTTTTACTTGTAATACTTTTATGATATAAATCTTAAATTAATATTAAATATTGCATTATTTATTTTTATAAAAATCTTATTTTATTAATTTATTTATTTATTTATTTAATGATATACTCATTCATTTATATTCATTTATTTATTATATATTATAAAATACTTTTTTATTTATTTAAAATTATAAATTTTTACAATGATTGTTAATCAATATTAAATTTTTATTATAAAAATTATCATTTTATTTACTATTGTGTTTCAAATTTGTTGTTATTATATTTCAAAATTTTTATTTTTAAAGGGTATTCTTATACATTTAATTTTTTTTATATTTTTATATTTTATTTTTATAATTCAATTTTTATATATACTATATTCAATTTTTTATCCAATTATGAATAAACAAGAAACCAATTAGAGTAGTAGTATCATTTCAACCAATTAGAGAGCTGCTAAACGAACCACTGACGCATGGTGTCATTCTCGTCTCGAAAATCATCGTGACAGAACGTATCATAGTTTCAAGTTACGTGAACTCTCTACGCAGTAAGTAATTTTATTCCTATTCTATTACCAAATATTATATTTATTTAGTAATCCATTCAATATTATAATAACGAAATTAATTAACTTCGAATTTCTTTATTCTCTTTCCTTCGATTGTATCTTTGATTTTTGACGTTATCTGTAGCTTGTCGATCTATCAAACAAATTTCCTTAATTTATAATTCGATAATTGATCATGGCATAGAATATCATTCGACAATTGTCGATAATTGTCTTTAGACGTGTAATATTTTTTCTTGAGATGTGTGATTTATCTGTTACATAGTATTTCTTTCCATTATTAATTATATTTTTTTTAATTATATTAATTTATAGATTGTTATCGTTAATAGATTTATTCAATACATGTTATTACGTTTCTTATTATGATTGGAAATCTGACTAATTTATTCTTTTTTCTTTATTCATCATTTTAAGAGTAGGTTAGAATTATAAATAATCATATTATGTATTATCAAAATAATTAATTATTGTTTTATATTCGATTAAATCTATATATTTTATACATTTATTTAAAAATTTATATTTTCTTTTGTTTAGATTATTAGCTGATTATTGGTGTAAGAAGGCGGGAAAAGTTCCAATATGGACGCCACAAAGAAGCTTGTTATTTTATGCGCGCGCGCAATACGATCGGTAGAATCAGTGTTTGTTTCGTTTTTTGCAAATTGTAATTTAGACGGCTGCATTTATTTATTTATTTATTTTATAAATATTCGTTTCCGTTACATATTAGAATCAGTGTTTTAAGAAAATAAAACTTCCCATGGATTACGGCAATATTGATAACAATGCAGATTATTCGCATCTAATAGTGAGTTGCATGCATTTTTATTTCTTTTTTAATCTTAAGAATTTAATATATTAATACCGAAAATGAAAAAAAAGATGTGCTATTTATATTTAAATTTATATTAAAGAGGTTATTATAATAGTTTTTGATAGGTTTTTGATAGTTTTTATATCTTTTTTTTCTCAGCATTCTATTCGTAGTATTAAATATTATAAATGATTAATTGATTATAATTTTGGTATTGATCATAATAAATTATAGAGGGCGTCAGAAACACTTTGATTTTTTGACGTCGGTATTTCAGAACACGTAACACTAAGTTCCATAAGATGTCACATCTGTTCTTGTAATCATCAAGTAATAGTAGGTCTTATCGATAATTCAGAAAACTGTGAATAGGTTATGTTATATTTGTAGTTTTCTTGTTTTGCATAAAAATAACGCATAAATTCTTTCTTATTTGTATTAAGTTAAAGTTTTTTTTTTAATCATATTTTGAAATTGTTAATTATATGAATATAATTATTATAATAACACATGCAACGATGTGTTAAAAAATAAAAGATCGAAATTTTTCGTGGTTATATAAATAAAAAATGAAACATATTTCTATTTTGATATTGTAGAGAGATATTTTTTTCTTTCTTGTTCCAATTGCACAATGTTATTACAAAATAATATTTATTCTATATTATTCAGGTATTTTAAAAATCGAAATTTATAAAAAAAATTTCGTTATTATTAAATTTATTTTTAATATTAATTAAAAATATAGTTAGTGTTTCACGATACAAATAATATTTCTCTTAGCTCTTTCTTTATTTATCATTTTTCCATATTATTGAGATTTTATTCACATATATATTTCACATATTTATTTCACATATTGCTGTTTTGCGTTGAAAAATGTGCAGCAATAAACAAAATAAATTCGTGCAATATATTCCGCATACGAACGTATAAAATTAAGAAAATAAAAGATTTTTTTTTTTACGGAATAACAAACATTTTCTTTTTTAAAAGAAACATATTTTTTATAAACAATTCTAAACTTTAAATTGAAAACAATACGTATTATCTATTAACACGAAGTTGAAACGTGTATTATTTTTATTCTGCACACGATTGTCAAGTTTTTATATATATATATATATATATATATATATATATA